TGTTATGTAGGACACTTTTCCCCGTGCGTGAACTTTGCTTGACCCTAAATTAGATTATTAGCAGACGCTACGTTCATAGATGGGCGGGGCTAGTTCTTTTTAACTGCCGACTGCCAATTAAACATGGTTAGTTTGTCTCCTAGTATCTTGTGGAAAGTTCTCGATTTGACGAGAAACGTAAACAATGTCAAAGGCATTTCTGGATGAGTCGGTAGACCTACTATATAAATAAGGAGTTTCGGAGATTCAGAGAGATTGATAGATATTTTTAACTTCACGAGACGTGTATTATTCTTTGTGTACTCGTATGTGTTTCTTCGCATTCATCATTATAAATTGGCACATTGTACTAATTATGTACCGTTACAAGATTTTCCCATACTCTGTAAGTTGATGATTTGTAATTATATTTCTTCTGTTTTGTAATTATATTAATACTTAAATAAATATTATTAATTGTAATTAGCAACTGCTTTGGGTGTCACATTTTTGTTATTATATTTTTCTATGGTATCGCCCTTTGATAGGCATTGTTCGAACGAGCCATAAATTTAAAATAGGAGATTAATTTCTCACAACAGAACCCAGTGCGTAATATATATATATATATATATATATATATATATATATATATATATATATATATATATATATATATATATATATATATATATATATAATATATATGCTTTATATTGAAAATAGAAATAAAAAAATAAAAAATAAAAAAGGGTGTTTTCGGAAATATCTATAGCGTAAATTTAGCTCGATGTTCAGAAAAGGAAGCTCAATTTCAAATGTATTAATATAAAAAAAAATAATAATAATAATTAAAAATCCAAATTTTGTTTATGGCTAATCTAATTTTTTTCTCCCTCCGAAATTATTGCAGTTACACTAATAGATCCCAGTGAAATGAGCAAAGAGGCACGAACACATACATTTGAGACGCGATTCTTTCTAAATATACAAATAACATCAGTGTCAGAAGAAAATGCGGTGAAATGTTCGCGAGCAATTTCATAACGAAAAATCTGTTAACGCTCATTAATTAAAATTAAACTGATCTTTTTGAAATCTCATTACCTATAGAGCGGGAACATTAATCAAGAAAATTTACTAGAGATTAGAATAAGTTTGAAAGTTGTCACAAAACTTTGTCGTTTCCATTTGGCTCAAAAATAAAACTTGCTGGATGAAAATTCGCGATTTGAACATACAATTAAGAATGTCTACATAAAAACAAGCAGGCCATGCAAAGCACATCAAAACCATCGTGGTATTTAGCGTGTGTGATCAAATGAAAACAACAAACGACGGAATGAATTGTCAGATACTGATTAAAATACACAAAGGTCACAACTAATGGCAGCAGCTATAGCAGGGGCTTTTAGCCTGTGAGTCGCGACCCATTTGGGAGTCGAACGACGCCTACACTAAGTTACACACGGGTCACCAAGACCATCGGAAAACCCATATTTATGAAGTAGCAACGGAAATAATTTTATGGTTGGGGGGGGGGGTCAACACAACACGAGGAGCAGTATTTAAGGGTCTCGGCATTTAGAAGGTTGAGAACCACTGAGCTAGAGGCTAGAATAAAATCAAAGCAAGGTTGAATAAATGCGGGTCTTTTTTTTTTACACTTATGTATAATGACATGGGACTCCCAAAATAATTTTTATTAACATATATAATTTATAAAATTTGACCATCACTCAAGTTGACATAAACTTATGGAGATAAGCAATTTCAGTGTTGACATCATTTTGATATCAACAAACCTATGAATGAAGACGGAATCATTGAAGAGCAGAGGAAACGCCAGGGGCTTAAGAAGGGTGTGCGGAGAGAACGGTCTGCCCCGGGTGGCACCCTTCTCTTTATATGAAGGGGAGGTATTTTCACCCAACCGCAGAGTTTGGTGTTTTTTTTTCGTGCAAGTGGGCGGAAAATTATCGACCCCCACCCCGGGTGTCACTAACCCTAGCTACGCCACTGCCTGGTGCAGCGAGAGATCAGCTGAATAGAATCTCGACACTTCAGAAAGTCGATCCTTGTATTTATTGCCATGATAAGCATCAGTCTGCAAATGAGAACTAAAGGAACCATACAATCTACCTGGGGCGGGGGACCTCCAAGCCACAGGGCAGTAGAATAGGAAGGTAGGGCGGAGGGGCGGCCCATCCCGGGCGGCGTTTTAAAAAATAAAATTATATTAGGTATGTTATTTTCGGCCAACTGATGAGTCTTTTCGTGACAGGTGGTTGTAAATTTCTTGGCCCCCTCGGTCAGCACTTATCATCTATGGGCCGTTAGATCATTTGGTCTGTCTGGGATTTAAAAACCAATAATATAAGTGGTTTGTTGTTTGTTTTTTTCATGCTAACATAAATTTATATCATTATAATAACGTAAATTTTAAGAGGTAAGTGGTGACTTAGAGCCATGAATTCTGGAAGTGTACGCGTGGAGTGTTGTTGTTTTGTTGTTGTTGTTTTTTTGGAGGGGGGGGGGAGGGGGCGTGGAGTCAGGTTGGATCATAATCCTTTGGATCACATTTATAAACCGGATGTATCTGAAAAGTTTTTTTTTTTAATAAATTTAAAAAAAAAACAACAGTTTATTTTTTTTTGTTTTTTAAATTAAACCCCCAAAAT